TGTTTATTGTTCCTCTTTTTTCCCCCTCGTAGCCATGGAGTGCAGAGACAAAGCAGCTGGGCCTCCCAGGAAGCTCGTCCAAGGTAAAGCCTGGGGGGTGTCAGGCCTGGTTCTGTGGGACTTGGTGCCTTTTCAGTCCTAAACTGGCCCCGTATCAGTTAAAATACCTTGATATCTGATCCCTCCCCCCCACTCCAATGACTTGTATAATGTGACTAAACCAATCAAATGCTGTTTCAGCTCGACTGCCCTTCAAACGTTTGAATCCAGTGCCAAAGGAAACGTTGGAGCCTGATTCCCAAGGCAAAAAAGTGAAGAGTTCCCAGGGTGGTTTTGATCCCACTAAGGATTCCACCCTGGATGCATCCTCTGCATCCCTGGACAACCTGGAGAACAACTGTCAGCTGGATTCAGAGGGGAATTTTTCACCAAAACTCGTGAATGGGAAAGGTCCATTAGACCATTTTATCCAGAAAAGCACAAAAGTGAATCCAAATGAACCTGTGATTTTCATTGACCTGACAGAGGGCACGAGCCACAGACTCAGTGATGGTGTAGACCATGTTCATGTTGATCCAAAAGCTTCTTCATTCCCAGCTGTGAGTAATGGCACATTAGGAAAAGAGAGAAACCAGCTGAGCTGCCTGAATTCCAGTCAGAGAAGCCAAATGGGTGATCCCTTGGAGACTGGTGGACCTTGTGAAGCTGCAGGGGATGAAGAGGAGTTGGTTGGTGGGATCCAGGCACGTTCTGGGATAACAGAGTGTGAGGGTGTGGAAGAGACCAAGGGAAACCAGAGCAAACTGAAGGACATCATCTTTGAGGGGAAGATGCCTGTGGTGCTCCTGGAGGACATCATGACAGCAATGCCACCCCAGGGGGTTTCTCTGGATGGAAGTGTCACGTCAGGAAGTGAGACCATGGAATCATCTCATGAAGGAGACTCTGGACTTACCAGCTCCTCCCTGAGCCCTCACTCTGGGAGCTCCCCTGAGGCTCAGGCTGCTGCAGAACCCAAGAGGAGCACCAGTCCCCTGGCTGCCTCCACACCCCTCAGGAAGGTTGGTCTCCTTTTTTTCTTTAAGCTTTTTGTTTTAAAGCTGCTGCTTTGCAGGCAGGTTGTGCAGTTCCCTGCACTTGGAGTGAGAAGGATGTTCACAAACTGTGAGGAGTGTGCGGAACAGGGGTGGAATTCTTGCCTGTGAGGGTGGTGAGACACTGGGACAAGTTGCCCAGGGAAGCTGTGGCTGCCCCATCCCTGGCAGTGTTGAAGGGCAGGTTGGATGGGGCTTGGAGCAACCTGGGCTGGTGGGAGGTGTCCCTGCCCATGCAGGGGGTTGGATCTGGATGATCTTGAAGGCCCCTTCTCACCCAAACCAGTCTGGGATTCTCTAATTCTACATCATAAAATCCTGCTTCCTGTGGAAACAATTCTCCTCCAAAAGGAGCATTCCAAGAAAAGCTTCATCTTTCCACCACCTCTAACATCAGAACAAGAGGATCTCAAAACCAGAGATGGAGCTTGGACATGAGGAGGGAATTGTGGAGTGTGAGGGTGGTGAGAGCCTGGCCCAGGTTGCCCAGGGAAGCTGTGGCTGCCCCATCCCTGGCAGTGTTGAAGGGCAGGTTGGATGGGGCTTGGAGCAACCTGGGCTGGTGGGAGGTGTCCCTGCCCATGCAGCGGGGTTGAATTTGGATAATCTTGAAGGTCCCTTCCCACCCAAACCAGTCTATTTCCCTCCTGAAGTTCATGCCTTTGGCCATAGCATTTCTGTCACTTGGTTAAGGACAGTGACTAAAAGCAGTTTTGTCCCTCAGGAGATGTTTTACTACCTGTGTTCTCTCCTTGATGAAGCTGCTCTAAGTGCTGCCAGAGGACATCACTTGGTGTCAGTGCAGACCCTATTCCTAATTGCTGTGTTTTCTCCAGCTGAAACTGCAGCACATCAGGGGAAGGTGCAAGATCTGTAGGTGGGGATGGAGGACAAACCTCTTGTCTCTCTGGGGGAGAAATCCCCACATGTGCAGCAATCTTGGGATGCTGATGGGCAGTCAAAGGTGGAGGGAACACCTCAAAAATCAGCTAATTAGCTCTGGATTGGATCTTGGTTCCACTTGAGCACCTCAGCTCCAGCAGGAGACCCCAAAACATTGTGGGCTTTGAAGGTGAAGCTTCTAATGACAACAGTGCAGGTGGCTGAGACCTTCATGTAGGTCAAACACCTCTTGACCCTCAAGCATTTGGAGAAGGACATGAATAGGGGGAGGGTTTCTGGGGGGCCACAGCCCTGGTGAACATGCCTGGGTGCTGTAGTTCAGCCTCACCTACAGTTTAAGCTGGATAATTTGAGCAGTCTGTTCATTTTGCTTAATTATTAGAAGACGTAACAAGGAAGGTGGTGATGGTGGCTCCATGTTGTGCTGCCGGGGGGGGAGGGTTGGGTGTGTGGCTGAGGGTGAGGGGATGGAGGAGCTGGAGTCCATCCTTGTGCCACCTTGAGCCTTTTAAGAGAGATTTTCACCAACTATCCCCCTCAGAATTCCAGGGACTGTCCCCCAAGTGAGGAGAAACCTCCCTGGCCTGGAGGAGGGATGGGTTAGAATTCCAGGGAATGTCCCCCAAGTGAGGAGAAACCTCCCTGACCTGGAGGAGGGATGGATGAGTGAGCTAGGAGCTCACAACCTGCCATGGCTTCCTTTTCTTCCTGCTTAGCAAGGAGAATGATCCATTTCCCCCACTGTTAAAACTCACAGTGGTTCATCTCTCAAATAAATAACATCAATTCAAGCAGGCATGAAGTGTTTCAGGCCAGACCAACAAAGCCCTTGATGATAACACCAAGTTCCTGGTTTCCTGGAACAGCTCAGATGCTTCACCTGGGACCTCTGTGGTTCTCTGTCCTGGCATGTTGGTTTCCCCAGGTGGAAACATCTCTGATAAACTCCACCTCCCAGCTAAAAGAACCTTTGATTTGTGTGTCAGATAAAAGCAGCAGCTCCTGGTGCAACTTGGTGCTGTGTCAACTGAAATGTGGGCACAGGAGATGAAGCAGTTGGGTTGGGTGGGTCTCGTCATCACACACCTGGGACTTGGTGCTGCCCAGGGCAGGAGGAGGAAGATACAAGGAACCAAGTCACACTGTGCTGAGTTATTGACAAATGAAGCCTTTCACAAGTCTAGAAACATTTTTTTTTTTTAACATCAAATATCTTTTCAACTATAAATAGCAGCTTGAAGAGAAATGAGATGGGTGACCTGTTGGGTTGATGTGCTGGTACTAGTGGAAGAGCTAAATGGTTCTGCTGGTTACAGAAAGAAGGAATGGTGGTTAAAATATGGAGAACAGTCCTGGTGTTCATATTGTATAATGATATTGCATAAATATCATTGCATGATTAGTAGTAGATACAAAAAAACCCAACCTCAAACAAATTAAACTCAAAGGAAGTGACTTTGCTGTAGTTGGAGTATAGAATCATGGAATGGTTTGGGTGGGAAGGGACCTTCAAGACCATCTAGATCCAACCCTCTGCATGGGCAGGGACACCTCCCACCAGCCCAGGTTGCTCCAAGCCCCATCCAACCTGCCCTTCAACACTGCCAGGGATGGGGCAGCCACAGCTTCCCTGGGCAACCTGGGCCAGGCTCTCACCACCCTCACACTCCACAATTCCCTCCTCATGTCTCACCTCAATCTCCCTCTGCCACTTTTCATCCATCCCCCCTTGTCCTCTCCCTCCCTGCCCTTGTCCCAAGTCCCTCCCCAGCTTTCCTGGAGCCCCTTCAGGCCCTGGAAGCTGCTCTAAGGTCTCCCTGGAGCCTTCTCTTCTCCAGGCTGAACACCCCAACTCTCCCAGCCTGGCTCCAGAGCAGAGCTGCTCCAGCCCTTGGATCATCTCTGTGGCCTCCTCTTGACTCTCTCCAGGAGCTCCATGTCCTTCTGATGTTGGGGCCTCCAGAACTGCCCACACTTGTGCTGTGCTGTGATGATTTGAAGCAGCTTCTGTTTGTTTTTCTGCACATGATGTTACCTGGGAGTGACACTTCAGATCTGAGCAGGCTGGAGGAATTTGTTATGCAAAACTGTAACGTGAGGACTTAATGTAAACTGAAGTATTTAGATGTGTTCAGGCTTCATGTAAATCAGGGAGATTAGATGTTCTTGATCTGTGTCCTCATGTCCTATTCTGGGAGAATTGTGCTGGATGTTCATAGAACCATGGAATGGTTTGAGGTTGGAAGATCATCAAGATCCAAGTTGGAAGATCATCTGGTTCCAACCCCCCTGCATGGGCAGGGACACCTCCCACCAGCCCAGGTTGCTCCAAGCCCCATCCAGCCTGCCCTTCAACACTGCCAGGGATGGGGCAGCCACAGCTTCCCTGGGCAACCTGGGCCAGGCTCTCACCACCCTCACACTCATCCTGATCTGCAGGAGAAATGTTAATGGAATTTAGGTACAGCTTGTGAGGGTTCTAGTGCTTTGTGGAGAGAGAACCAGGTGGCTCTCTGAAACCTGCCTTTTGTCATTCCAGGTGTCCCAGTAGATCCTCAAACTTGTCTTTTGTCATTCCAGGTGTCTCAGAAGTGCCACAGAAGCTCAGCTGAGAAGGAGAAGCTTCGGTTGCAAAGAGTAAGAGCTTTTCCACTGCCACAAACACCCCCTGCTGTGCTTTCCCACTGAGCAGTGAGCAAAGCCCCTTTACATTCCATCTTAGTCCACTTGGAACATCTCCCTTCCTCCTTTTCCTCACTGATGAATATGGAAGAACCTCCATCCATGCAGTCAAACCCCTTGACTGGTTCCCAAGCTCCTTAACATGTAGCTCCTGGAGTGTGGGTCCCTGCACTGCAGCTCAGGGCACTTTGGGATGAGATTAAGAACCTGGAGATGTTGGTGGCTGCTTCTCTAAATGATTTTTTGGGAATTCTTTGTCATTCCCAACCCCTTCCTGAGCAGGTAGGTGCCTCCTGCTAAGGGCACAGAGACAAGTGTCACCTTCAGAAGCTTTAGGGCTGGTTTCTTCACCCTTCCCTCTATTCAGCCACAAAATGTAGGGGCTGTTACTTTATTTTCTTCCCCACTTCTGGGGTCCCACCTCATTTTCTTCCCCACTTACGGGGTCCACACTCATTTTTCTTCAGCTTTTAAGGGGTCTCCACTTGTTTTCTTCTGCATTTAGGGGGTCCCCCCTCATTTTCTTCCCCACTTAGAGGGTCCCCCTTCATTTTCTTCCCTACTTAGGGGGTCCCCACTCAGTTTTCTTTAGCATTTAAGGGGCCTCCACTTATTTTCTTCTGCATTTAAGGGTCCCCCCCTCATTCTCTTCCCCACTTATGGGTCTCCCCTCATTTTTCTTCAGAATTTAGGGCTTCTCCACTTGTTTTCTTCTGCATTTAGGGGGTCTTCATTTCTTTCCTTCTACATTTATGACTTGCAGAAAGAACTGTGGGAAATTACTGCTAAAAATGCCCAAGTCCTGATCTCTCCTTGCTCCAACATAACTTGTCAGCAAACTCAGTCCCATACCAGCTCTGTGGTGGGATGATTTTGCTGTCTGTCCTACTTTCAGGCAGAAAATGCTAAAAATAAAAGAGATTGATGGATCAACAAGGAATTTTTGAGCCCCTAGTGCTGTAGGGAATGGGTTTTCCCTGCTGGAAAACTGGCTCTTGTTGGGAATTGAAGTCTTGTGATTCCTAATAACCAATTTCTAAAGCTGATAACAGGGGCTGTTGTGTTTTATTGGAGCTAAATATGCTCCAAGCCTGTTCCCAAGATGTTTTTTTTACAGTTTAGAAATCCAGTCTGTTGTTTTTCCTCCCCTTCTAAAATGAGTGTTAAAAATACCATGAAGGTGAGGGAGGGTTGAGAACAGAATCTTGAGCAGCCTCAAAATTAAACAGACCTGTTCACTTCACACCATTTCCCAGCCTTCCCAGTGGATTTGCTCTGATTGCCATGACTCAGTGTTGACAAAGTTGGTTGTTTTTTTCTTTAAATTGGCAGAATTTGGGGGGGGGGTTTGGTTCCTCCTGCAGTGATTTGGATGTTGTGACTCTGCTCAGCGAGTCCCCACGTTGCCAAGACAAGAAATGTGACATAAATAAAGCTCAACTGCAAACACACAGAGAGGGTGTTTGTGTGTGTCTGAGCACAGATGTCCCCTGAT